CCTATCGTCATTTCTCATTTTCCTTGTTTCAAACAATATAATTGAATTTGCTTAATGGTCAATGCAGATGGCGTATCTGGAAGAATGGTCTTTATTAGAGAGGGACTATGCTGATTCTTTAGCTGGAATTGTGGAAGCACTTACTGCTACCATTTTGTGCCTTCCTGTTACTGATGGAGCAAAGGTTGTGAATAGCACATGGGCTTGATTTTTTTTTCCAAATATTTTGTTCTGTATATTAAATATCAGATCTTTCTTATTTGCAGGCTGATATCCAAGATGTGAAAAATGCCGTTGGCTCTGCAGTTGATGTCATGCAAACAATAGGAAGTTCAATATGTGCTTTACTGTCTAAGGTGATGTTTATATTAACTAGTTTTTTTTGTTCCTTTTTCTCTGTGACTAGTTGCTAGTCCACGGCTACATGATCTTAATTTATGACCGGTCCCTGCATAACAGAAGTAGCACCGCCCATAAAGATGGTTTTCCTAGTTGTCTGATCTGCATGAGTAGTTGGATTGCTTGACACTGTTAGTGATAATTAGCCTTATCCCCGGACCCAGTTAGCCAGTTCCCACATCAGATGCACTTAACTTTCTCATGCTTCTGAAGCATATGACATTTCTCTCTTCTTGCACATCTATCTCTTGGATAAGTGCCTTTTCCCTTCTGTTCTCTACCTGGATTAGATTGGAAATCTTACAATTCATTTCGCAGTTCCAAGCATTTTATTAGACTTTAAATAATAAACTTTGCCATTATCACGATACAAAAATACAGTATGAGCATTTGTCATGAAAACTAGCATCAATTTTTGAGAGGCTCACACTTTTGGATAATGGAATAAGATTATCCCAGCTTCTGCATAACATGATGCCAGAGGATTGCATTTGGTGAAATGTTTGTTCCGAGGCGCTACATTTGTTATTTTGTTTGCCTGAAATCATCTGTCCCTCTGCAGCTAGCTGGAACAAGTGTTTTGGTTTCTGATCTTGCCAAAGTTGCTACTGAAGAGCGCACTCTAATGGAGCAGTCCAGAGAATTACTGTCCACACTTGCAACAATGCACGTAAGTAGTACGACCCACCCATGTCCATTTCTCATTCATATTCATAGCACTTCTAATGTTGCATCGAAATTGTTTTGCTGAAACAGGTCAAATACTGTAGCCTGCAAGGACAGAAAGTACAGACAACTCAAAGGAGGGCCATGCATTCCTAGTGCAGACTACTATAACGAGTCTAACCCCACTAACCTAAGAATGTTAGGTGCAATTGCAAATTCTGGTGGCCTGCTCAAACCCACTCGATGATCTGACTCAAGTCTTACCTGATTCCAGCGGCCTTGTCTGGTTGTAGTTCTCTAGTTCTGATTTCTGTGTTGATCCATGATAGCCTATGCAGAACAGATGTAATGCAACGTGTATATAGATGTATCTTTTCATTGTTGGTTTTAGCTGGCATTAGGTCAACTGCTAACAAGTTAGTTTGGGTTCCTTTTGTTCATCAGATGACCTGACCACCAGGGCAATGCATATTAACTTCAGGCCTTTGAAATATAGATCCCGCTTGTTCCATTTGCTGGAGTCGTCGTGTTGCATAACAGCGTTTCAGGTTGCTGATGAACGGCTAATGTGTGCCTGTTGGTAGCAGCTCTCTCATGTCTTGCGTTTGTAAAATTCGACTGTGTAAAGAACGTGTCTGAGCGTAGTGATGTTACGGTACTGGTCAGAGTAGCTGATGTTGCAGAATGTGGACTACGCAAATCCAAAATCCACACAGAAATATGGCGTGGACACATGTCAGGCCATCTATCCGCTTTGTAAATTTGTGCAGAATGAGTACTCCAGAGTGCAGATCAGGACAAGTCGGCACCTGAATACCTGACGCGCACGAAGGGGGCAATCACCAGCTCTGAAAGCGAGGGGGTAACAAATAAACGGGACACTTAACTGCACTCACGAGCCCCTGGCACGAGGCGGGTGCAGAGCGATTATTCCAGGGCACGACCGACGCTTGCACGGCTGCCTGAGCTCCCATGCCGTTGGGCGAGGCCGACCTGCGCTCACAGCCTCAACACACCACGCACAGCGACCACGATGCGACGCCTGTGGCCGGTGCCAGGCCAGGAACGGCGTCCATCGGAGGAACGGCAGCCGACACAAGGTGGTAAAGCCGAGAAGACGAACCCTTCTGATTGATTAGCTGGTGGCGCCTCTTGATCTTGCTACAGCGCCTTCCTGTCCGGTGTCTCCTCCATGTGATCAATCTGGAAACGAAGAAAGATCGGCTTTACCGACTCTTGTGATAGCAGTAGGGTCATCGCGTGGGGGAGGACACGTGCATGGTTTGTTTCTGTCAATTCATGCCTTGATGAAGCGTGAAACATTCCACAAGTCCAAGGTTGCACTTGTTACCTGGGAGGCTGGGCCGGAGTCTGTTTTGTGCTCCGGAGGCAGCCTTTGCACAGTGCATCAATTCTTGAACACAGTGTGTTCTCAAGGATTTCAAAATAACATCGAAAGTTATGAATAACAGGTTCTCCACTATTGAATTACGGGAAGATAACTAGAGCATATCACAATTCCATGGAAATATTACATGACTAAACATTGAACAGCACAATGAACTAGAGACACCAGCACAGCGAGCAGTATTACACTATGGACACCTGTGGTAACTTGAAGAACTATGACCCATCTAGGAACTACACAATAAAACGTTACCTGACACCTAATGTTCAACTGCATGGCATCGGCTGCAAGTCTCCACAACATGTAACTTCACTTTGGAGGGGACTTTTGGCTCAATGTATGTACTAATGGCCAAAAGAGCTTGGCGAGCTTCCATGACAACGCCCAAGGGTAGGGGGGAGCACTTTCTAGTATTGTTGTCAGGCGCAGAACACACAAAGGAACTTTGATGGGTCTCTAATGTAAGACACTCAAGCGACGTTATATTCTCCACAACATGGCATGTAAGCTCAACCAAGCTCTTTGCAGACGTGAATCTTAGGATCTTCACACTCTTGACCTTGTCATGGTGTTGGTCTTGCATCAGCCTCAGATCTGACGGATCTGAGAAAATTGAGGCATGCTCCATGAACCGCTGTGATACCTAAGAAGATTAAAAAAAAATGTAGTCATGGGCTACCATACCTGCTGGTAATATCATAATGAATACACCAACAACTTACATCCACAAGACCAAAGCCTCCAACGAGGGACATGCATCAAGAAAGGAAACCAGAGAAAAATAATCGTAGGTCGCAGGAAAAAATAATATCATAATTGCTGCAGAAAGCACAATTCTTAGGTTTTTGAGATGGAGATATCTGCTATGCAGCATTGGTGTATCAGCCTGCATAAAGATGGCAGGTTAGTTATATTCCAAAGGTATGATTGGTGTGGTATCATCAGCTGCATGTCCCTAGTCCAGTAAAACATTAAAACATTTTAGAGCATACCTCTCTACTCGAAAATATGGTAACAGTTTCAAGATTTGGCATGGTGGAAGGAAGCGCAACTCGAGCATAACGAACTGCACCAGAGAAGGATATGTGTAGGCTCTTCATTTGCAAGGTTTCTCCAAGCGAAAGTTGAACTCTGTGATCCCCTGAGAAGTAAAGGCTGGATATATTTCGAGCATTGCTTTCTATCACTTTCAGCCCGCTGCAACCCCTCACCTCAAGGTAACCAAGCCGCTGCAGAATACAAGGTATTTTCACGTAAACTATCCAACAGTACCTGACTTCCAACCGCTCCAAAACAAAAGAATTGGAAAGAAGACACCCTAAGTCATCTCCTGAAATACGGACACATTGAAGCTGCAGCCTGGTTAGGCGTCTTAACAAACCAAATTCAGCTGTGGGCCGGAAGGAACAATATGCCAGGTGAAGATGTTGGATTGAGTCTCCACTCCCATTAGATAAAATTGAGCATGGGAAGTTGTACTTGGCTCCCATTGGCAGCATTAGTGTGAGTTGTTCAATTCCTGGTGTAACACCAATCTGAAGCCAACTGTCAAGATAACAAGAGTCATTTGCGCTGAAATCTTTAATCATGTGAATCTTGAGGGTCTTCAAACCAATGCCTGAGTGTTTTTTCAGAATGCAATCAACTTTGCTACAGAAATCTCTGGCTATTTCATCATTTCCACATGTATTTTTATCCAATCGAAATATTTTATTACTGAAAGTGAGGTTGGGATGACATCTCCAGGAACGGAGAAAAGCACGAGACACACAGGCTGCTCGGGCAGCACCTCGCATTGGCATCAGGGAATGTATATGACACCAGACGTCATGCATGCAGATGAATGGGAAATAATTTCAGCATTAGAATTGTAAAAGCAAATGGTTAATTAAGATGGTGGGGAAAAGGAGTTAAAGCAACATATGGCACTGTAAACCAGGTGTTATGTGCATTAATTCACAATATGTTCTTGGTGGATGCTTAAAAACGTTGTTAGCAGCACGAGCAGTTTAGATACTAGAAAATCTTCATACTTTTTTTTAACCTAAAAATGTGACACTACCAGAATCAGGCATGAAGTGCTCGACTCTAATTGTAGAGTCCTTATCCTAGTCTAGGATTGAGTCATGTAACCTCTATATAATGTCCCTATGGGGCTGCAATTCAATAAAAGTGCTATTCATAACAGATAGCATGCTGATCAGTGGTACACTGGAACGAGAATATGCACTTCAGGACAGGATACCAAGAGTACATCTGAATATGTAAATAGAAAGGAGGCCATGTATTTATGTGATCTAATCAAACAACTTTGGTAGCCACAGTGTAAGAAGATACATGAGATGCAGCTTAATAATATAAGTTATAGGATAATAGACTGAACAGAGCTGATAAAAAAAAACTTGGCCGGTGGGGGAAGAACCGCCCCCACGGTATTTAACTAAGGAGAAGACCTCAGCACCCAGCCAAGAAAACCCCCGAACCCTGGCCAGCAGGCACAGCGAGGGGGATTTTTTTACCAACAACTTGTGCGAATCGGGAGTCGAACTCCCGAGCGGTGGGTTCACAGCCGAACGCCTTTTACCGCTGAGCTATCAGCTCCTTCGCCAGAGCTGATAAAAGAATGATGTCCTACAAGGATATGCGCCTCTAAGGTTACAATGTATTGTCTGCAATAGTCTAATGTGGATAACCTGACACACTAGTTAGACTATATGGGAAATAGAACTTAATGATGCCTGTAAATTCATTAGTTATGACCAACCTAGAAAACTAATTCCTTTGACTGTACATTCTAAGGAACTCATGGATGATATTGAGATTCATGGCATTTGCTTGTCATTGATTTTCACTTGAGAACATCCAAATCCAAGAAATTCAAGCTTTTATGCATTGGAGGTCTGAAGATGGATGCAAAAATATTGTGCTTAGAAGCAAACACTATGTGGAAATGAATTTGTAATGGAAGTTAATTATTCACATTAGAAGCAAACACTATGTGAATCTTTTTTTCCTTTTAGGGCGAATACATTTTTTCCCGAGAAATTGCATGAATAGATCCACATCAAAATAATATAGAGGTAGGTGGGAAGGATTAGCATATTCATCAAACACGGATAAAAGGACGATAAATTCGTTATCTAGCGTTGAAAGTTCATGACTTTTGGAAATACCATCGAAAGAATTGAGCCCCATTAACTATAGTCCCTCCATCTTTTAAATGATGATGCTAGAACAGTTTTTTTAGTGCAAAATTGAACTGAAACCTTTGTCCTAACGTCATGATTTCAAGGATGGAGGGAGTACTGCTACCACAGAAAGGTTCACAGTGCTCCGGAAATTAGCTTTTGTTGTTAACACCATTAGGTGGGACATAAATAACCTTTACCTGTTCGTCCCTTCCCCTGCTGATTCAGGACGCTGCTACTTCCCTCTAATAGCATCGTCTGCTGCTTGGTTCTTGAAAAAAAAAAGAGAGGAAAAATCAACAGGTGTTGCTGCTTCACAAAACAAAGAAATAGATTGAAATAGTAGCATGAACTGAGCACATAGACAATCAGATTGTTAAACAGACCGACAAGACAAAAACGGCTCTGCTTAATACATGCACTAGTTTTTGTAGGAGCTTGCAGTCCAGCATCATTGGAGGTTGAAGCAACACCTTAGGGAAAAATCGAAAGCAAGCAATTACCATGGTACTAATTAGGAGACTATGGTTGCTTGATACGCATCCCGTGTTCTAGCTGAAAGCATGACCGGGCGATAATTGTTCTAAGAGCAAGTAAACAGTTGCACGTAATACGGGGACGATATTTGTGTTGTCCCTTTGTGCTAGGATTTGGCCGCACTGACCTGTGGTGGGGCGGATCCGCTTCGCTGGGCTTCCGGCCGAGCTCCTCAGACCTCAGCTCCGCCGTCCATACACGCCCGGAAGCCCTCGCGGCTTGGAGGTTCCTCGGAAGACGGCGGCGTGTTGCGGGTGAAGTTAAAACCGGCGTCTAATTGCTCGCGAGTTTTTTTTTTTTTTTTTTTGAGAGGAATTGCTCGCGAGTTGGACCGTCGTTAGTCGATATGGATCGCTAATGGGCTCTCGTTGCCTACATACTGGCCCGGCCCGGTCAAATTTCCTCAACCCGTGGCCTACTGTTGCGAATCGGAGATTTTCATCGAGATATTTTTTGATTCCAGATTTCCGTGCGAGACACGGCCGTGCGTGCGGCCGGCTTGCCAGCCAGTATCGCGCCGCACCCATCCCCCGCGCCGCCGTTACATGGCCTGGGGCGCCCTGCGCAGCCGCGTCCTCCCCCTCACGCTCGCCGCCGCGGAAGCCCACTACCTGCTCCTGCGCTCCCTCCTCTCCACCGCTGCCCCGCGCCACGGGTATCACCACCGCCTCCGCCGCCGCCTCGCGCCCGCGGTCTACGCCGCCGCCGCTGCCGACGCGCCGCTCCCCATGACGCCGCGCTTCAGCCGGGCCACGCGGCACCCTGGGGGCGCCGCATCCGTGGCGCGCGTCTACGCCGACGCCAACGCCCAGCGCCCCAATGAGTACTGGGACTACGAGTCGCTCGACATCCAGTGGGGGTAGGCATGGAGCTCGAGCTCACCCTGTGGTCTTCCAGATTTGGGGCTAAGGATTTTGTTCTGATGTTCTGTCCTCTCTGCGTGTGTGTGCAGCGAACAGGATGGGTACGAGGTGCTGCGGAAAGTGGGGAGGGGGAAGTACAGCGAGGTGTTCGAGGGCTTCCGCCCTGGGAGTGAAGAGAAATGCGTCATTAAGATCCTCAAGCCCGTGAAGAAGAAGAAGGTAAGGCTTTCTTGCTGAAATTGCTTTAGTTGCTTCGCGTCCAATCACTGTAATGTGCCATTGTTTGAGTCATAAATCATGGCACCATGTAGTAGAAACTAGAGGATACAAATGCCTTGTAGTCTCGGCAGTTTGTATATCATCTCAGAGAATGTTGCAGTTAGATATAGTTCCTTCAACTGTAGATGCATGTAATATGGCAGGTAGCATGAAGCATTGTTCAGAAAATTGGTCCTCGCAAAATATGTGAATCATGATTTGCTAATTGCATTGTCATCTGCTCGTGATTATTGGAACCTTTTTAGGCTTCCTGACTAAACTGTACATTTAACTAGGGCAATTTGATTTTTATGCATTTGGTTATCTATTTGCTTAGATTTTAGTGACTTCATACTGATTATTGTGCATCTTTTTATGATGTTGCAGATAAAGAGAGAAATAAAGATACTTCAAAACTTATATGGCGGGCCGAATATTGTAAAGCTACTTGATGTTGTCAGAGATGATGAATCAAAGACACCCAGTCTGATCTTTGAGTATGTCAACAACACTGACTTCAAAGTGTTGTATCCCGCACTATCTGATTATGATATCAGATATTATATTTTGGAACTATTAAAGGCAAGAATCTGAATCTTAAATTCCATAGGCCCTTTCCTTCCCTGATTATTTTGCAGTCAACACCATATACGCTCTAACCCTCCTATTTCCTTCAGATTGCATTCAACTTGATGGTCTTAACTTTCCAGGTATTTGTGTAGGCACTAGATTACTGTCATTCACGTGGTATCATGCACCGAGATGTCAAACCTCACAATATCATGATCGACCATGAGAAACGCCAACTTCGTCTTATTGACTGGGGTCTTGCTGAGTTTTATCATCCTAAGATGGAGTACAATGCCAGAGTGGCTTCAAGGTCAGTTGCCTTAGCTTTGAAATTTGTGTTTTCCTTGTCTCGTTAATAAGCACATCTTTATTTTTCCAATTATCATATCATGGCAGCACTCATGCATCTACCATGAGAATTAAAATAATAATAATATTGATGTAATGATCTCACCCACTATATATTACTTCAGTAGGCTTGTGGGACATAATAGCATTTTGATGCGCCTTTATATTTGTTCTGGTTCATCTCTTTGTTCATCATGAAAAGAGTCATGCAAGTACTGAATTTGACAGTAGATTATGTTATACATGCCATATAGATACTTCCTCCAGTCACATTTCTTCGACGTTTCAGACAATAATAAGACCTGCACTTAGTTAAACTTAACTATCTGAAATATCAAACTATGACCTCGCCCTGTTTTCTTTTTCCGTGTTTGACTCATCACGCCCATTGCTATTTACAGATGCTACAAGGGCCCTGAACTCCTTGTGGATTTGTTGGATTATGATTACTCCTTGGATTTATGGAGTCTTGGTTGCACGTTTGCAGCAATGGTAAGTGGCAGGGTACTATCGATCATTTATTTTCATTAATAGACTTTTGTTGATATGTGTATTGATACTCTTAACAGATATTCCGAGTGGATCCTTTCTTTAGTGGCCAGGATAATTATGACCAATTAGTAAAAATAACCGAGGTAAGTTTGAAGCTTCAGTGTGGAAACATCATGTCGCCAAATGCTATTTAAATCTGGTGCTATTTATATATGTAGGCATTGCGTATGTTTAACTAATACTGTTATGTTGTCCGTTAAAATCGCACATTTTATCGGATTTATGTGAAATTTACTTATTATCTGCAGTTGCATATGAGTTATCTTGTACCTCAGTAGCAGAGCATCATGCCTTGCTTTTTCAGAAAATGTTGATTGCTTAATCTATATTTTTAATTTTTGGACACTTAAATGTTGCGTTGTACATTGTAGTGCTAACTTTATAAACAATAACCCTTTAGTGTACTCTACCATCCAACTTTGAGGTGTCCAGTGTAAGTGTACTGTTATTTATGCATGCCTTATGTTACTCAGAGAATCAGATTATAAAAGTATATATAAATGTTGCAGATCTCCTTGGTATTGCCTTTGAGTTGATTTCTGTTATTGCATCGTCTCCTTGCATTGCTTGTGTTCATACTTCATTGTTATTGGCTGCCACATCTTGTATGTATGGTGCACCACAGTTATGATATTGACTATCCAAATTGGTGTTCAACCATTCTGGTTGTACAATACACAATAGAAGTGGGTTTTTGAAAGCATTTTATTTTACTATTTATTGCAAGTAGGGCATGTGAAACATGATGCTACCCTGCAGGTTCTGGGCACCGAAGATTTCTATAACTACCTTGAAAAATATGGCCTCGAACTTGATCCGCAGCTGGAAAGACTTGTTGGAAGGTCATACATTGCTTTGGATGATATTGCAGCCTATTATAATCTTTATTTAGGATGGTCTAACTGAATTTTCCATGACTACAGACATAATAGGAAACCATGGTCCAAGTTTGTAAGCTCTAGGAACAGACACCTAGCAAGCCCCGAGGTGAGTCATGTTACCATTCAATCCACATAGCTTGTTACTCCAGATTACTTGTGTTTTTGACATATTTCTACCTTAGGCTATCGATCTGGTGGATAGGCTCCTGCGCTACGATCACCAGGAACGGCCTACAGCTAAGGAAGCCATGGTAATTATTACTGTCCAATAACCTATCAATACAGCATGTATAACTTCACTACTAACTTGTGCCAAATGCATGCTTTGCTGCTTGCAGGCTCATCCATATTTCGATCCAGTAAGAAGTTCTGAAAGCAGCAGGTCGAATTCTCAGTAGCTACAA